GGCCCCAGCCCTGCGGGGGAGGCGCGCGGCGAAGAGGAGAGCAGACGCGAGGGCCTGTCCCCGGGTCCCCACAACCGCGGCTACAGGCTCAGACCCATCCCCCTCCCCGAGGCAAACGCTGCAGGCCCAGCTCTGGGAGGAGGGGGTGGAGAGCAGATGGCCGGCTGTTTGGGGAAACAATAATTAATAATAATAATAACTAATAACAACAATAACAATAATAAAGGTATCGTTTATTGAGCGCTTACTAAGTGCCAAGCAGAATGCTAACGCTGTTAGCGTATTACCTTAGCGTCTGTAGTCCGGCCGTAGCCGGCTGTCCTTAGTTGACCCGGGAGACAGGAACTGGGGGGCAGGAGGCAAGCAACCGAGGTTTCAGGACTCCCGAGGGAAGGGTGCGCTTGCAGATTGAGAAGGTGCTGCCGAGTAGCTGGCACTTTGCTGAGGAGGTAGCCATGTGTGTCGCATCAACAACGCAACTGTAGTTGTATTTCTGGTTAAGCACGCAGAGAGGGTGAGGAGAGTGGAGTCCGTTGCAAAAGGTACTGTTCCTTCAGCACGTACTTTGGGTGCCTGTGACGGGCTCAGCGGGTGCCAGCTCCTGTTCTGGGAATAACAAGAAGAATAATAGCAGCTAACATTGAGGAACATTTCTCATATACGAAGCACTGTTAAAACACTAAACTTTACCGTAATCCTGAAAGTGTAAGTAATAACTCCCATGTTACAACTGAGAAAACGGAGGCTGAAATTTAATGTGACCTATTTAAAAGGACATGTGACCTATCTAAAATGACTAAATAGTAAAAGGGAGAGAAGTCTTTTATCTCCAGGGTTTAAGCTCTCAACCACTGAAACATACTGATGAGAACTGTATAGGCCTTGAAGCTTTAGGATTTGAGATCCCTCTTTAGAAAGAATAAGACAAAATTGCAAAGTTGCTGTGGCCCATTCTGGAGCCTGGGAAGGGTCCCTGAAGCTTATGCGACATCAGCCTCATAATAAACCCACCTGCAATGCTGATAAAAAGCAAAACAACGAAAGGCAGAGTGCTAAAGTTTCATATGAAGAGACTGAGGTTGTCGTCGGACTCGGAGAATGATAGATTTTCGTCTGATGTGGCCTGGAGACAGCTTCCCACGGCATTATTTGGAACTGAACAGCTCATAAAGTATCCAGCTGGTAGCTGTCATAATAGAATTATCATCCTTTTCTGTTCAGATATTAAAGAAGCAACCTTTTGAAATACAAAGACAAAGAAAAGGAAAAAAGTGAACAGACTCTAGGTCTAACATGATTCAGTTCCTCTCCTGTGTCCAGAAGGAGGGCAGGAAGAACCCAGGAAGGGGCTGGGGAGAAGGGTACTTCTTAACCTACAGCTGCTCTGAGGTGGCTCCATGTTGAAAAGTGAGGCCAAATCATCCTAGCGGTTAAAGTTGGTTTCAAATAAAATGGGGTAGCCTCAAGGGTCGGCGTAGCAGAAAATGCTGTTTAAATTGGTCTTATTAGGGCAGGATTTTTTTTCCTGGTTGCCTCTTCCCTTTTCAGTGTAACTAAGTAGAAGATGCAAACATGCATACAGAAAAAGTGATCTGCCCCTCCTCCCACATCTTCCTACCCTCTGTGAGGTAACTCATGGGTGTGGTGAAGGAAATTAGCTTCCAAGTGTACTGCGTGCGACAGGCTATCCCAGAGGTCATTGCGCAGAAAGGCTCAAAGACAAAATTAGGGTGTTGAAATCACATGGCTAATTGACTCAATTTAAAATGCAGAGTTAGAAGTCAGGGGAGAGAGAGAGTAGATTAACACACCTAGGAGAGGGTGCAAACAGGTGGTAGAGTTTCTGACATACACATAGAACCTGTGCCCCTCTCTCCTGCGTCAGCCTTCCCTGTGCTGATGGTGTGATCACAGGGACCAGAGTTGAGGTTGAATGCGGGGGACCTGGCTGTTAGAGGGTACCTGGTGCCAGCATCAGTCAAGCTCTCTCTACTGAGACACGGGAGCAAGGATGGCTGGCCTCAGATCCAGCTCACCAATTACCCTGATGAGTAGCTATGGATTTTATCTGCATGTCTCAGGCAGAGAACAAATGGAGGCTGGTAGGTGTCACCAGTGGGTGGTCACTTGACGCCTTCCTGAATGTTGAGTGCCTAATATGCCTCGTGAATATTTACCATATCGAGAAAATTTTGGGCCTACTTGGACCTTGCAACCCTTCCCCTCTATGTTCAGGTCATAAATGCACTACTTCCTTTGTCTCCCGGACGACTTGCTTCTATTTAATTCCATTTCTCTTCCTTATAATGTTTCTCTTATTTCCTTTGGCAGAATTGATTATTCTTATAATAACAAAGCAAGGGTATTATAGTCAGTAACAATGAAAAGAATAACAGCTAACATTTATATAGGACTTACCTGTGCCAGGCACCATTCAAAGCCCTTTCCATATGTTTATTGATTTAAGCCTCACAACAAGCACATACAGGTAGGTACCACTATTACCCCATTTTATAAATGAGGAAGTGGGTACGTATAAAAATGAACTAATTTTACCACGCTCACACCACTAGTAAGTGGTAGAACCTGAATTCAAACCTGGGTAGCCTGGCTTCAGGGCCCTGGCCCCTAACCAGGCCCTCTTCCTAGCTCGTGGGAAGACTTACAAATCTGTATATTCACATACGGAGGGTTGGGTATTTTATCTTTGGCAAACGGTGTCATTTGCCTTTTCTCTCTCAGCAATGTTGGACACGAATGACCATCCCCACCGTGAAACTCTCCCTTCCTCTGACCTCTGTGACCCACAGCCTTGGGTTTTGCTCCTCCTTTCAGGCAGCACCCCTTTGTTTGTTCTAGGCCTTTCTTTCATCTCCTTTTTCTCTGATGGCTCTCATCCCCTCCCTTGGTTTTAATCACAGAACATTTGAGGATGCCCCCAATCCCTCTCTCGGGGGCAGCTTCTCCCATGAGTGCCCCATCCACTTGGCCACTTCCAGTAGGCTGGTTCACAGGCACCCACCTCCCGCCCCTCCCCTACCGGCTTTTACTTCTGGGTTCCCAAACCGCCACCCACCCAGTTGTATGAGGCCCTATTCTTACCACTCCCTTCACCTGACCCCACACCCAGCATCTTGGTGTCCTATGCTGCTCTAACAAGTTACCACAAATGTAGTGGGCTGAAACAACACATATTTATTATCTTGCACATCTGTAAGTCAGAAATCCAAAATGGGCTTTACCAAGCTGAAATCTGGGTGTCTGCAGGGCTGCCTGCCATCTGTAGGCTTTAGAGGAGAATCCACTTTTTTGACTCTGGCAGCTTCTAGAGGCTGCTTTGCTCACAGCCCTTCCTCCATCTTCAGAGAGCATCACTCTCACCTCTGCTTCAGCAGCCACGTTGCCTTTTCTGACTCTGACCCTCCTGCCTCCCTCCTGTAAGGTCCCTCGTGATTATGTCGGGCTCACCTTCACAGTTTAAGACAATCTCCTCTCAAGAACCTTAATCACATCTGCAAAGTCCCTTTTGCCGTGTAAAAGGCAACGTAGTCCCGGGTTCCTGGCATTAGGACAGGGACATCTGTAGGAGACAATGATTTTGCCTACCACACCCAGTAAACACCAAGCCCACCTTTCAGAACATCCCTGGAATCTGACTTCTTCTCTCTCTCCCTGTGCTCTGCTAATGCATGAGGTTCTCTCTCTCTCCTCTGCCTTATGACAACCACTTCTCTTGCCTCTCGGCCTCAATGAGTTTTCTCACCCAGTTTTCCCTATTGCAACCAAAGTCACCTTTGAAAACATCCGACTATGTAATTTCTTTGCAGCCCCACAGGGTTGTGCAAGGCATGGGGCATCATTCACATTGTGTTGTGCCTCCTAGATGTGCTGCCAGCAGACCTTAATTCCCTACCTAACAACCCATCCAAGGCCTCCTTTACTGTAACAAAGAGATTCAAAAGTCCAGTCATCAAACAGGACTAGATTTTTTTTCTCATATAACAGTCCACAAGTGGGCAGTCCAAGGCTGGTAGTGTGACCCTACCATCCACACATCACGTGAATTCCACGTGCGGTCTAGGGTGCCGGCTTCAGGTCTCACCATTCCCAGCACATGGAACAGGGAGAGTACAAGCGCTGTCACATAAATGGGAGCCCCAGCGTGTGCACGCAGCACGTGCACACACACCCCCTTGCCTGAGACAGTCACATGCCCACATCTGAGTTCAAAGGAGGGAAACAGTCTTACCCAGCTAACTTCCATTACCACAACAGAAAGGGAGGATGGATTCTGGGAATCAACTAGCAGTCCTCCACAGGAAGAAAACACTGTGTTATGCAAGAGAAAGACAGAGGGAGGTAATTTAGATTTGAGGACAGGGAAGGCCTTTTGGAGGAAGTAACAATAAACTGAGACCCGAGGCATTACGTAGGAGATGGCCAGGAAATGAGTTCTAGAAAGACCTTACCCACAGAAGGAACAGCCTGGAGGCAGCAAAGAGCTAAGCTTTGGTGACTGGAGCAGAGTGAGGGGCCGGATAAGAGGAAATGTCAAGTGATGATGTTGCAGAAATGGGCAAGAGCCAGGTCAGGCAGCAGCCTGGGCTTCGTGTCAAGCATTTGCTTTTAACTTTCATTCAGTGAGATCCACTTAGGGGATCTGACTTGTGCCTTTAAAAGATCGCTTAAGGCTGCCGTGTATGGAGAGGGCAGAAGTGGAACCGAGCCTCAGTCGGAAAGTAACCAGTGGTTAGGAGAGTGATTAGCAGTAGTGTGGACCAGAGTGGGAGCAGTGGCAATGGAGAGAAGTGGATGGAATTGAGAGAGAATTTTTGGAAGTGTGTCAGCACACTTGGTGATGTACTGGGTGTGGGAGGCGAGGGAAAGGAGGTGTAGGAATGACTCAAAAATTTCTGGCTGGAGCAACTGGGTGGATGGTGATAACCTTTAGTGAGAGAGAGAAGACTGTGGGAGGAGCAGGCTGGAGGGAAGAAAGGAAGTGCTCACATTTTCGCATAATAAATCTGAGATGCCTGGGAGACTTGCTGGTGGAGCTGTGAAGTAGTCAGTTAAGTATATGAGTCCAAAACCCAGAAGAGCGGGCTGGACTTGGCAGTCATCAGCACTGAGGTGCTGTTTGCAATCATGGGAATGACGGGGTCACCAAGAGAGAGAATACCCTGAGAGAACCCTGAGAAAGGCCAACATTTACCAGGTGGTATCAGAGGAGGAACGAAGAAGAATCATCCGTAGAAGTAGAGGGAACAGGAAGGTGTTGTCACGGAAGCCTAGAGAAGAGTTTTTCCAGCAGGAGTGAATGGATAACACCCTACCCCGCCTTCAGATCCCACGTAAAACATTATTTCCTCCACAGACAAGGCTTCAGGTACCAGGTGCCTTCTCTATCATGGAACTTATCAAATACTGTTGTGATGACTTGTCTTCCATGCTGGACTGAGAGCTCCT